CGCCCGAGACCCCCCACAACCCCCCCCAACCCACTGTATTCTTGGAGTGCGCCGCACCCCCTTTTGAAGGTGTGCCTGGGTTGGGGGAACCCTGATCTAAGCTATCAAGATACTTGCCATCTGTGCATGTGCACGTCATTGGGAGTCAGGTAGAATATAAATGTAATAAATATTCTGGGAATGGCTGACCAAATTCATTTGGTTCAAGTAATTTTTTTCCTTTTTCTTTCAACTCCATTCTAGTTCTTTGATCTGAATATGCATAACAAAGACTTGACTGCTTAATGAATTAGCGAGGCATATTCTGGGTGAATATGCATAACAAAGACTTGACTGCTTAATGAATTAGCGAGGCATATTCTGGGAGTAATTTTTTTCCTTTTTCTTTCAACTCCATTCTAGTTCTTTGATCTGAATATGCATAACAAAGACTTGACTGCTTAATGAATTAGCGAGGCATATTCTGGGGAAAAGGGAATCCCCCTTCAGTATATGTTCCCCTGGTTGGTCAGCTACTGAAGAAAAGAGAGCAGGATTGCTACTTGCTTCCTCCTGCATAAAACCAGAGGCTTATTTCTCTGGAGTAAAGTGGCTAGTGGCAGCATTAGCAAATACGGGGCTAGTTGCGGGGCTGCTGCAGGATTGTGAAGGGTTGAGAAACCCCTCTTATGGGAGCCAGAAGTCTCAATCTGTCATAGCCCATGCTTCTGTAGATGCACGGGCTCCGTTACATGGCATCTTGGCTTATGCAATACCATAAGCTAAAATTGTGGCCACACTATAGTTGCCTATGCCACAGTTCTGCAATTCTATGCAAAATCAGCCCGGTACTCAATGTTCCTCTCTTGTGATGCTGGTGCTAATTAGCACCACCTGCACTGCAAAGCAGAGCGTGGTATCAGTTTTGTCAAACAGCTCAACGTTCATCATTTCTTATACAGAGCTTAGGGCCCGAGAGAGAGCAAGCACAGAGATATGCCTTCCATACTTCCAAAGGGTAGCAGTGGCTATGTGCTACAGCCTGCAGTAGGTGGTTATATGCCTACTCCAGAAGGGGAATTTTGCTGTCTCCATTCAGCAACTGCATACTGATGTCTCACGTTTTTCCACATTACCCATAAGATGTTCTGCTCCCATCCAACTCACCCCTGCCCTCATTTAACCCACAACATCTGACATGGGGAAATCACTGCATCTTTTTGCAAACATATTTTATTCGTCTATAAAAATGCAGTTGGGGTTGTTCAGTTTTGGAATAATCAAATAAGGAAAAAGGATGGGGCAAAATAATTTCCTTCACTATCCATGATTGTCTACTCTTTTTTTTGTCCACAAACATCCTCTTTCTTACAATTTGAGGTAGCACGTACTAGGTTAAGGAATATGAGAGCTAATTCAATAAGAATATGTGCAGAGGGAGAAGCAAAAGGCACAGCTTTTAAGACATCTGTTTTGACAAAGGACAGCAGCAAAATTAGGCATTTAATACAGAGTGACTTGAGAAAACTTACATTCTTCAGGCTCATTAGATGGTAGCAAATAAAACACTGCAGCTATGCTAGGACTGGTAGGAAACTTCAGGAGAAAAATGTAATACAGCACCTAAGCAGGACATACTGCTTATATCTCCGTTTATAAATTAGTTAAGAACACCACAGCACCTGATTTTGGTTGTGCCTAATTTAACACCCAACTGATTTCAGTGGGACCCTAGCTCAAGTATCTGAATCAACATTAAAGATACTTCAGTAGAGGTTATCATGAATACAATTATTGTAGTGATTCAAATATTTCATTTAGAATAATTTAAATGCAGAGTTAAAAGTCTGTATCCTGCTCCTTGAGAAAAAGGACTAATACATTTCAAGATTAATTTGCCCATCAATGACTAAAAATAGCCACCTATGCCTTCATTAACAGTAGCCAGACTTGGTCCCCTCTCGGCAAATTAATGGATGCAAGTTTGCCTCTTTTCAATTTTAGGGACATCCACCTATGCTAAAAGGAGCTGCCTGTGAAGTCAGCATTCTTCATACTGACTATTATTACAAACCTATTGTGTGAGGTACACCTTGTCCTCACGAACAAACCAGCTTTGTAGAGCAGCGGCTGATCTCAGCATGAAAAGCAGATAAAGGCAGACTATCCTGGCACAGGGGGGCAGATGCCTCCCTGTACCGTCATTCAAAAGTCAAATTAATGCCAGGGCAAGTATTATTCTGAACTAGAGTTCTATGATTTCTGTATCGGAACAATATGGATTTTGCATCATTCTGCACTTTTTAATCTTGAAACTACAGGAGGAAGCAACAAGATGCATAGGGCATAGATCCCTAGGTGGCTGTTTGCCTTCTGAGATTCTTAAACATTGTTGTACCTAGCAACTAGAAACTTTAAAAAAGAGAATAGCTAGGTTTCTTCAGAAACGGATTTCTACATACATTGGGCTTTTTTTTTTTTAATACTCCTGGAGAACAGCAACAGCCACACTCTTCTTATATGAAGAAGTAAGCCAACTGCTGCTCTTAAATCTTAACTTTCTCCTGGAGTGCAGCACGGCTATCCAATTGTTCTAAACACAGACAGTCCTTAAGATGATTATACAGAAGTCAAGTCTCACCAAGCTCAGTAGGACTGAATCCCAAGGAAGCATGAATAAGTTTGCAGCCTTGATCAATTAAGGTGACTGATAATAATAATGCAAAATCCTTGGGAAAGTGCTTGTTCTTTAAGTTGTATTATTGTAATACCAGTATATCAACTGTTTTAAAATGCTTATTCTGTTTCGCCTCCTCCCAGTACTGTACATGCAGCTGAGAAAAGCCACTACAGCAACGTTAGCTGGGATTTGAATGTGCCCCATTTTTCCAGACAATAATTGAGCTTTGTTAAAATATATACTGTATTCAGGTCTTAAAATGTGTGACTAACAGTTCATACGTATAGTATGAAAGTCCACCATGCATTGTTGCAAGTTATCATGCTAGCCACTTTGCTGGATTTAAATTCACAGGCTCTTTTCTGTGTCAGTGAAACTTAATATTTTCTATTAGCCCAACTGCTCATCCTCCTTGTATAACAAGGACATCTAGTCAGGCAGACATCTAAAGTTGCTGGGTCTTTTTTTTTTTTTTTTTTGAATCATAACACAAGACGTGGTCTGCTGAGGAAGACAGAATCCTATCATAATTTCCTGGTAGATATTTGAAGCCTCCCAGGAGGAGCTTCACCACAAGCATTTATGCCTCTTAAAAAGAGAAGAAAAAAAAGAAGATACTTGTTCAGGCAAGCATTCCAGGCAGCCTAAAAACACAACCCTGCCTTGCCTGAGAGTTAAGAAAAGCCTTCTGCCGGTTGTGCCCTCTGTGTGGAAGCTTGTTTGTCATGCACAGCACACAACAGAAACTAGGATAGAGAGCAAGTCAACAACTTCAAGGCATTTCACAGGAATTAAGCCGTTGATGAGTTTGAGAGGGCAGACGGAAGAGGGGCATATTTAAATATGAAAGATGATAGCCGAGAATTTGCTGAGAAAAAGGTAGCCATTATAGGGCCAAATACACACAATTCCACCATGAGAGTGGAGCCAATGCTCAAAACCTAGGAAGAGAAGTGGCAGCTGACTGATTCATGGGAATTGCCTCAGAACCAAACTGCCAGCTCTGGAGAAACAGCAAGCAATTTGTTTCTGGAGTCTGGCAACAGTTACAGTCCACAGACAGAAGCAGCCCAGGCAGATTTATACCCCCACACTGGAGGAATCTGCTTTATTGCAGGCACCCCCAGTACATGCTCTGTCTCCCCCCTGGTCTATGCTGTTGAGCCATTCCCTCAAGAGGACGCTTGCCTCCCCAGGGCACAGGTTCCCCAAACTGCACAGCAAAGGGGTGCTTGGATTGCTAAAGAGGGGCACAGTGAAGCAGGGCCTAAGTTTTAGGCATATTATTTTACTTCCCCCAACCAAACATTTATTCATTTTTTATTAGTTACATTTATACCCAGGCCTTTCCATAAAAATGCCTCCCTGTTGCCTGGTCAATGAGAAGCTATAAAAACCATATATATGTATTGATCACTAATATTCTCTCACACTCGCCCAAAGTGTACCTGCACACTCACACCAGATATTTTAGCATCATGCTCAGGATGATCCAAGCCCACGATGATAGCTTTATGAGACATTAGGAGCAGCGTGTTCAGCCCCTCCACAGAAATGTAGCCAAGGTGGACTCTCTTCCCAGCCTTGGCAATCCTGCACACACATGGTTTGTGCAAATTATGCTTTATAACAAAAATAAAATTTCCTTGGTAACTAGAAAGGGGACAGATAGTTTACCAAGCTAGGCAACACAAAGAACTGTTATTTAATGGAGTGGGGAAAGGGAGGGTTTGGGATACCCACAATGGGGATATCCAAGGGTAGCAGCCCAGAATGGAGTTCTACCACACCTGAAGCTGGTTTCTGAAGATTCCAACTCAACTCCTTCCCACAAACTGTCTGGAGACGTGATGCTCAATTGCTCCTGTCCCACATTCACCCTAGAAGCTTCATCTCCACTGAACCACAAGGGACACAGCCACTCTTGGCATAGAAATATCTGATGGAAGACAAATCATAGTTTTGAAGAGACAGGAATTGTTTCTCCAAGGCAGAAGCCCTCAGCCTGCTAATGCCATTTTCTAGTCTCTTAATACAGAGCAGCATACAGTAGTGGAGCTGAGAAAACTGACACAGCCATTTAGGTCACAGAGTAACTTTGCTGACTTAATTACCAAAATGTCCTGGCTGCTGAACTTCTGAAGTGCTTGCAACCAAGACATCCACTGGTAGAGTAACATTTGAGTTTTGAAATTGGTATAAAATGGGCTTGGAAGGCTGCACAAGCTGGACATTAAAGAAAGCTTCAGTGGTCCCTCAATAGGAAGGACCACTTTCTTTTCCCCTCACATTCCTTCCTACCTCAAAATACTTTCACTAAGGGTAACATCAATTTTTTAAAATAATCCCAACTCCAAATGGAAGCCTCTCCTATTTTGGCACCCACTGTTCCCTCCAAAAGGCAGTCGCAGGGCAGCTAACTGGCTGTCGATTCTTTCTGACCTAACCCAGTGATGAAAGGGAAAGGTGGAAAAGACTGATGTCCCAATGAAAGCCAAAGCAACCCCCAGGGCAGCAACTGTAGGCCATTCTCTTTTCTCCAGCAGCCTTTCTTGCAGACTTCACCCAGTCTGCACTGCCAGCCTAGTTCCTGCAACACCTGCTTTCTCTCTACTTGGCTCCTTTCTTTCCGGGACAAAATTAACCCAGCTGGATTCTCAAAATTCAGTCACTAACCATGAACCAAGGCTTATCAGGCAATGTTTCTATTATCAAGAGGTGGACAGTCAGTTATTTTCTTTTAAAACACAAGATTTAAGAGGCACAATTTTCAACCAGTCTTCCCTAGGCCCACTGAGAGAACTTAATGAGTTCTTGCTACCTCTTTCTCAAGAAATCAAGGAACAGCACAAACCACAATCTAAGGCAGCCACAGTGATATGTTTCATAGTTGGCAGTTTCTGACAGGGACAGAAAGAAGCTTCAAATAAAGTATGCTAAAAAGAAAAGACCCAGCATAAAAGCCTGGTCAGGTAAAATAAAACTGAAGACTGAGACGTTGCTCCAGAGGTAACATGACAGTCTGACCCTTTCCTTAGGAATAAGTCTTGGTCATCACGCCAAGCCCACTGGATAAATTAACGGGATATCAGGAGAAACCAAATAAATAGATAAAAACAAATGGCTGGGGATGCTGCAAGCAAACACCCAACTTCAAGTGTCCGTGTGGTGACCAAAGCAGAAGGCAGCCTTCACGTCTGTTGGACTTTGTGGAACATGAGCTCTTGAGGAATGCGGGTCTCAGGGCCATACCTCTTCGCTGCCCGGCGCTCAAAGGCTGCCACCATCTGCTTCACTACCTCATCGAAGAAAACTGCAGCCAACTGCGAGTGCAGCAGGGAACGAAATTCAAAAGAGATCTGAGGAAAAAGAACAGCACATTGGACTACCGTGAAGGTCCTTTTCCTACAGTGGAGCTAGGGCATTCTACAATGAGAAAGCCCCTTCTGCTTGCTCCAGAGGAGAGGCTGGGAAAGGTTTGCTGTGGAAGAAGAATGTTGGAATGACAAACCAGAAGGAGAGACTACAGGAAGCATTCTTGAGAAAGGCAGAAATAAAAGATATACTTATAAAACTATGTACAACTGCTTGCTGAAACTGATGAGGCTCTAACAGGTTTTTTTTTCCCTACAGACATCTCCCAGGAGTGTATTACTGTGAAAATAGATTGGGGTGGCCCATCTGACACCTAGTTTGTGCTGATCCATCTCTAGTTAGGCTAGTGAGGCAGAAGGAAAGGAGGACCACAACCTAGTCCCAGCTGAAGACCAAACTGGCCTTGGGCATCAAGAGTGGCCCTAGGCACAGAGTGATAGCATCCAGTTGGATGACACAGAAATCCTTACCTGAGGGAGTACCTGTTTATGACATACACCTGGCTAAAGTTATGACTATTAGAAATGCCACTTTCTCTGGCTAAGAACTAGATGTGATCCAGGCTAGCAACTGTCATGAAGACAGCAGCTGGCTGACTTGTTCACACTTTACCTAAGTTCCCTATGTTTAGTCTATGAAACCAAGGTTCTAGTGGAGATGGACTTGGCAAGGGAGACCCTCATGGCTAAGACTGTAACCTAATAGGATGTGTGGTACAGGATTTCCATGCTCCTCCAGGTGCTGGGATGGTTTCTTGCTTTTACACACTATAGCTCTAGAGACTAGAGATGCCCCTGGGCACATACTAGGTGGGGTTCCTGTGGGAGGTACAGAGCTTGGAGCCCTGAGAAGCGCCTCACCTCACCGACCTTGGAGTTCCCTACTCTACTTCAAGGACTTGGTTCAACAGCTCTGGGAAAAGCAGGCATGTGGTAAGAATGCTCACTACTGGAAACACCTCTGCCACCAGAAGATGGTTCTAGCTCCTTTACAACTAGAATTTTACAGACTTTCCTCAGTAGTAGTGGAAGGTCCGCCATTTGGAAAAGCCTGATGGATTCAGGCCCCCCAAATCAGTCTTCATTTATGCAAGAGCTAATGAGCTGGTGAGGAATCCTTTTAGCTTTTGTGTGCTTACTGAGAAGTCCACTGTACACGTGCGAGGATAGCCTGGAATGCCCGGACTGAAACGCCAGCTGGTCTCCAGATGATTGAAAAGCTTCCCGTCAGTGCAGACCGCCTGGAGAAAATAACAGAAGAGCAAAGGTTCATGTTGACAGCAAAGCCCACAGAGTCTTGGCCAAACTGATGCCCTCCAGATATGTTGGACTACAACTCCCAGAATTCTCCTTAGCATGGAGGACAGCAGAACGGGGAAGGCCAATATAGCACAAGAGTTCCCAGCCCCATTCTAATAACAGCAGCTCTGGATAAAGACTTACCTGTCAGCCCGCATATGAAGCAGATATCTCATGTCTGCCTTGCGAGTATGCTGCTTCACAAGTCACACACAAAGGACTTTCTGTTTAGCACTTCTGATATTTTCAATTTCTATAAAGTGTTCTGTCAATGCTAGTGCCACAATGTTAATCAAACCTCCCTCCAAATTATCTGAGGCACCAGGACAAATTATTAATTATTTTTATTTATTTATTTATCATATTTATATAACAGGAAGCTGGCCCTCCTAGCCACGACTGCCACCTGCTCTTCCAGCAGGAGTCGTGAGTCCAGGAGGACCCCCAGATTGCCCACAGGGTCTGTCTGGGGCAGTGCAACCCCATTCAGTACCAAAGATGGCATAACTCTAGCACCAGAAGGCCTCAGAACCCACAGCCACTCAGCCTTGCCAGGGTTCAGTTGAAGCCTGTTGTTCCCCATCCAGACCCTCACAGCCTCCAGGCACCAGGATAAGAGTAAGACAAATTGGTTCAGTTGAAGCCTGTTGTTCCCCATCCAGACCCTCACAGCCTCCAGGCACCAGGATAAGAGTAAGACAAATTGGTTCAGTTGAAGCCTGTTGTTCCCCATCCAGACCCTCACAGCCTCCAGGCACCAGGATAAGAGTAAGACAAATTGGTTCAGTTGAAGCCTGTTGTTCCCCATCCAGACCCTCACAGCCTCCAGGCACCAGGATAAGAGTAAGACAAATTATTAATTATGCAATGCTTGTTGATATTTTGTTATTGCAACACTTAAGTATCATCAGCCAGGTCAGCCCACAGATATACAACTCACCTTCACCAAATGGGGTTGCACCAGTGTCACAATAGAGGTATAACGTTCCATAACAGGAGGAAATCCAACTTCCAGCTGGGCCTTCACATGGCCTGTTCGTTTAGAGACCACAGTTGATTTCTTACACCATGGAACAAATTCTTTATATTCGTCCACGTTGGACACAACACCATACATCTCCTGCATAGAGTAACTGCAAATAAAGAGAGAGTGACTTCTAGTAGTATGTCCACAATGACATCCACAATTACATATGTACATGGGCACCAAAGGTTGTTGGAATGTCTCTTTGTAAAACTGAGCTATCATGCTGTGAAAATCTGAAAGAAAGAAAACTTTCAAAACAGCATTGCTTCTCCACTACTCAAGTCCAGGAACTTACGTTCTGGAAGAGTATGGAATTAAAAAAATAGGATGCACTCTTTATGTTTCATTCACTTATCCCCTTAGATAGCTTCAGAGGAGAGAACAATGTACCAGAAATAGAGCTTGGCTAAGCTGACTCCTTCTATGACTGATATTCTGCTGTTTGGAGATATTATACATTGTTATCCATGATAGACACCTTGTGCAATAATATAATTTAAAGTTAGGAAATGCAAATCCACCTCTTTCTGAGTCTTGCTTTGCTAAGAGTCAAACTCTGAATCTTACTTTCAGTTTTTTCCTACTCCATATAAATCTGGACTTCATAGGTATTTATGATATAAAGAAAAAAAGAAGGAATTTGAAATAACATAAGACAAAGTTTGTTAAAAATATGAAGTCTTCTAAAAGCAAGGATAAGTCTGGCAATCTCACCATTAGCTTTATTGTCAGGGACAACTACAGCAAGAAAGATTTAATCACTTATGCCAATATGGTACATCTAGTCTCAGAAAACAGACTAAAGACACAGCAAGAACTGCTCAATGAAGGTAGGAATTTACCATGGTGGATGTATTTACAAATTGCTAGAAAAATAAAAGGTGATCTCAAGAAAGGAGGAACCTTGAGAAGGATGGCAGAAGTTGAAACACTTACATGAAACCAAGATCATCTATTAGAATATATATATAAATGGTTACTGAAATATGACACAGAGATGGAACAAATAAAAAATGGTATGATAAAATGAATGCAAAGCTTCAAAAAAGTAATCACAGCACAACAATGGGAAAAGCTATGAAAAAAATAAATAAAATTTATTCCAAGCTACAATTTAAGGGAAAATTGGTATAATATATTTTGCAGATGGTATATAACTCCATCAAAAATTACCAAGATAGACAAATCATACACGCACGCACACTCAAATGTAATGCATCAAAATATTCAGAAAATTCTATAAATAAAATTTGAATTGAAACCACAAATATTTTTATTGGGGATAACTCCAGAAAATATAAATGAAAAATGCCACAATTTAGTAAGATATACACTGCAAGGACAAATTTGGCACAACATTGGAAAAGAGAAACTTTGCCGACAATACTAGACTGGGAGATCAAAACTGGAGAGTATGCAGCAATGGCAAAACTGACAGTATATATCCATAACAGAAATCTAACCAAATTTAAGCAGGAATGGCTCCTTTATATATTATACATTTGGAACGTGGTCTCTAGGAAAAGAGTATGAGACCAATCAAAAATAACAGATGAAATTATTTAAACAGATATTAGCAATAACTTTCAGTGTTCAACATAAAGTACAAATATTTAGGTTGGCAGTTAGGAAACAAATGGAAAGTAAGGGGAGAAAGTATCACTAAAAATATTTCTAGAATGTTTTTTACTGTCTAGTTTTTTTTCTTACTTTGTGCTTTGTATTCCTAACTTTCTAAAAATCTGTTAAAAACTTAAATAAAAAATAATAAAAGAAATAGAGCCTGGATACAGAATTGGTAGAGGGAAGGATGGGGAAGAAAATGGGGCAGAAGGAGGATAATGGAAGGAGGGAAAGCAATTAGGGCTCTCATTCTATCAGCAAATACTCCCAAATATTTTCCCTACTCATGAAACTGCACAAAAGCTGTCACAAAGGAACTTAGATATGATTTCAGAAATATGGAAGCCTTAGTAATAAGAAATAATAAAATTTCTTTCCAGATCAATTATCAACTTTCAATTTATGAAAAGGCACCCCTTATTGCTGCAGAGGAAGCTAGGTAGAATGGAGACACACTAAATAGAGAATAGACACATTCATGGAAGATAAAGCTATAAAGGACTACTGACAATAAAGGGCTACTGGCCGTACACAATGACTATGTGTTATCTATAGATTCCGAATATCAGAGAGCAGGGAAGAACAACAAAAGGACTGTCCAAGTTAATTCTTCCTTCCCATGAGTTGGGCAGAAAAATTTAAGCTAATTAATCCGTTTGTGTATCTGTAACAACTACTCTCCAAACTGATAACTGTCTAGGTAAATCTGCACATAACAGTTCTTTCAAAAAGTTCCCTTTTTCTGGCTCTTGATTGTATACATCCCACTTTGCATATGTGTGGGAAGATAATATCTCCTGAAGAACACAGGTGGGTTGGTAGTATTGTTACAGTATGCTGAGGTGGTTAGCCTGCAGTTTCCTCAAGATTTTGCTGAACCTCAACTCCCAACAGTCAAGGATGCTGGGAATTATGTATTGCTTTAGCTTCCCATAAGATTTGGTTGGTCACTGTGGGAAAGAGGATGCTGGATTAGGCAGACGTTAGCTTGGATACCACAGGTCTTGCCTTATGTTTTTATCCCTTACATTAGAAATAGGTCCCTTTAATTCTTTTGGACTATGAAAGTTCTAGCCTCAAAAACTTATAGTTCTGTACTGTTTATTATTACCAAAGTAATTCATGCTTGTGTGGGTCTTACAAAATGATTATATTAGAGACATGTGTACATTTTCCCTCTATCATGAAATCACCCTCCTGCAAGCCATGTCAGCTCACCCAATGATCCTCCTCTCTGAATATTCCTTCCGTTTGTTGATGAAAGGTCCTGTAAAGCTGATAAATGTCCGGCTGTGCTGACCACTGAGATCCCAATCAAGACTGCTCATAGCATGGGGCTCTCGGATCACCAGAATTCCACAGCATGGCATGTACCTGGAACTGAAAGATCCCCAGGATTAGCTGGGCTGAATAGAAGTCTACCAAACGTTCCTAGAGACTAAATTCAAGATCCCTTGATCTTGAATAACTTAACAGAGGTATCATCCTCTGATTCAGTAAGTTGCAAGCAAACTAAGTTGCAAGCATGACCTAGCATGGCCTCCTGGACTGAAGTCCTACATGTACAATCTTGTGGGCAAATCCTCAAACATAATATTGCGGGGAAATTCTGGCATATTCTCCACTGACTTTCATAATACATCAACTACAACTCTGGAGTAATTAACTTCTAAGGACAAATGCTTCTGTTCCTCTTGAGGAGCAGGGGGTAGAGGAAAAGGATTGTAGAAGTCATAGTCTATTCCAGTGGGCACCTGGTTATCTACTTCTGGTTCTGAAGCTCCTGTGTCACTTCTATAGATTCCTCAGATAATCATCTTCATGCTTGTGAAAATTAAGCTTAACAGCATTGGGCAAACATTACCCCTTTTCCCAAAGTGCAAGTTGTTCAGTAGAGTTACTACAAGCCGAAACTGGCAATGTGTATTATCAGAATAAATTGTATATATTAGTACCATCCTCAGTTCTACAGAAATCAGAAATGTGAATCTGATCACAACCATATGCATTTTTCTAAAGCCTTGGCTACTACCCCCCACCCCACTTCCTCTAAAACTTGCTACTCTCAAGCAATTTTAGATACAAGTTCAGTGCTATTAAAGAATACTGCTAAACATTTTTCAAAAGCACCTTAACAGACACATAGAGTGTTGGGTCATGAAGTAACGAAGAGCCAGTTCTCTTCCTCTCACTTCATCTTACAGCCCCCACCTCTGTGGCCACCATTGGTCAGCTGCTGTTCAGGTAATCCTAAAGGATCAGGCTCAGAGACCTGATAGGTACAGGGAGAGAACCCCACCTGAAAGAATTGGAATTGCCTGCTGCCCAAAACAGAATAGCCCAGAAGATGGTGTTTAGGGACTGCAGAGGAATCATACCCAGACCAATCTGAACTGGCCAATGGGTGCTGAGCTGATCCCATCCTCCAAAGGACATCTCTTTGTACCACCAACAGAATGGTCTACAAAGCGTATCTGATTGTATCCATGGCAAAATCTGTATCAGAATAAAGGGGGAAATGCTACTTTAAGAATTACTTAAGGTTGCTTCAGCTATGGGGTGGGGAACAGATGATGTCAATATTGTGAGGACACAGTAAAAAAAAAAAGAGGTTGCTGGGACATAGTTGTGCTGCAGTTAGATGCAATTGAGGAAACGCTCTTAGACAGATGTTGGCCTCTTCACCTCTTTTGCTTTTGGAGTGCAAGCTCTTTCTGTCAGAAAAACCCTATGCACAATGGCTGACTCTTAACTGGAACTATTAGACACTCTCATTAAAGAAGAGGTAGCAATTTTCCTCCTTGATTTCCCATGACATGTCCTAAAATTCAGATGGGAGGAATGATCAGCCAGGGTAATGCAAAGCCTTTGCATTTCCTTCCATGTTGGCCAGCTTCTGTCTTGCTCGCAGACCAGCTTAGCTTAGCTTACACAATTATTGCCAGTAAACCCTCCCATAGCATCAGCCGAGCTGTTTTTTCAACAAGTAAACATTCAGGATGCCAAGTGGAAAGTCTATCTATGGGAAGAGGGACAGATTTCCTGTCACCTGACATTAACAAAAAAAAGGCCTTTCGCCTAGGTTGACAAGCTTGCAGGCTACTTGAAACTGTGACCAATAAATTGAAGAAAAGGCCTTGTATGTTCTCTGCTCCTCTCTTTGGTCTAAATTTCATCATGAGCAAGATAGATCTATGATCATTTTTGCTTCAGAAAGTAGCAGCTGAGTTTTTCTTGTAACATCCTTCTCCAATTTGGTGCCCTCCAGATGCATTGGACTACAATTTCTATCATTAACATGCTGACTGAGATTAATGGAACTTGCAGCCTAACACATCTGGATGGCTAAGAGGAGGAAGCTGCTTTAATGCCTTTTCCAGAAAAAAAAAGAGGGGGTTAAAATGTAACGATATACCACAGTATGATTGGTAGTTCAATGGATACAACTAAAGCTAAGGCAAAAAGAGTTGATTTGCCATATGGAATTTAACTTAGGAGAAGACGTACAAATAATATATTGCAGCATATTCAGGGACAAAAGGACTGGGGAAAGAATAGCAATTACAAAATAGCTGCCCAGCAGATTAGCTGGGACATTTACTTGGGAACACTGCCAAGCAAACGACTGTGAATAGGAACATTACGTAAAACAGTTAAAGCAGAAGAACTCCTGCAGACACCACAGATGAGCCTCTTAATCTGGCATAATCACTTGAACTGCTACTTTCTGGAGACTAACTTTCACGAAGTCCATTGGTTTGTTCCCCACAAAGAAACTGAGACACGAAGCTGCATCTACCAGAATCAGCGACTTGTGGGTATCCAGAATCCTTATCTCAAGCTATGTTTTGTCTGGCAATTTTTCACCAGATCCTAACCTTGGTGATGAAGTCTCAGACTGGTGCAACAGGATAGCACAGCAAACAGTAACAGGGAAAGATACGAACACTGCAGCGTAACACGTCACCAACCTCCTGAACAAACATCCTGAAATTGTTAAGCACATACCCTAATACCCATAAGCCTTTGGTGCCACTGCTGGAGAACAGCTCAAATGTTTCCAAAGGTGATGTGGAGGAAGCTACTACAATACATCTAAGTAAGGTTTCTAATTTAAGAGTCTGGTTTCATGTATCATGCTATGCCATAATTTTGTCTGAGTTTGTTGCATAAGCCATATTTGCCCTAGCTCACTTGTACTGCTAAGGTGTAACTCGTGATTCCTATATAACTGTGGTTGAAATCAATCATCCTGCTAAGCCAAAAGTAAACAAACTACATTGTGACTTAGCACAACATGGCCATGTAAATCGGCATCTTGGAATTCTTAAGTAATAGTACATCTCTACCTACCCTACCTCAAAAGACAATTTTTGAAACTTATTTCTTTATAATATTACCTGATATTTTTTACTCAGGCTTTTCCCCCCAGTAAAGTTAATTCCCAAAATAAAGCATTCTGCATTTTTTTTATAACTTCCAGTTTAAAAACCTATGTATTAATTAACATCATTCCAATAAATATCCCAAATTTCTTCAAAGACACAGTTAGATAGACATTCTGTAAAAGGAACACGCTGTGCTTCCAAATTAATCCCCACAATTGTTTGCAATATTCAGAGAAAAAAAGAAGCCAAGATACATTAGAAGAGCCGTGTATATGGTTCCTCACTCCCACTGTGTACTATTTAGGCAGGCTTCTTAAGTACAACTAATTCATGTTTAAAACTAAGTTCTAGGTCACATGGAGAAATAGTACTTTGGAATGTGTTCACTGGGAAACCAAATCCAAAACCAAATCCTGATTGGGAGTCTTTTTGCAAACATTGTTGCAATATCTGCACAGTACAATCAGAAGGTTATATACTCAAAGTATTACTGGACACTTCACTTTCAGATTTGTTAAAAATATGCTTAAGGCCGTTTCTGGGGAAAATGAGTCCTGGTAAGGACCATTCACATCCAGATCTGAAGTAACATAGCAGATAAATGTTAAGATATCCATCAAGATTAAAAAAAAAAAAAATCCTCCTCTAAAAGACATGCATCCCATTCATTTCATTAGCCCTTATCAAAAACCTGTGAAATTTACAAAAATAATTTGATTCCACATAAGAGGGGAAGAAAATTGAAACTCAAACATATAAACTGTATTAGGCTATAGACTGAATATAAGGTTGAGTGGTGATTTGAACTAAGGACATGTAGCTCACAGGTCATGCTCCTGAAAATCCTGATAACGCATCACATTAACCTAGAAGAAGAGAGACATCCCAGTGCCTTTTCTGTCTGAAATTGGTTTAAACAGATGATGAACCTGTGACCCTCCAGATAACTCTGAACTACAACTCCAGAAACTCTAGGGAGGCTGATCAATAGCGAAGAATGATGAGATGAAACCTGTAGTTCAACAACATCTGGAAAGCCATATGCTTTCCACCTCCTTATGCTTATCAAGTTACTTGTCCAGATGGTGTCTGAAGACTATTCTGCCTAAAACAAGGTGCCCCTTCCCACTGGGTTGTACCTCCACATTTTAATCCATACAGCTCATAAAAAAAAAAAATCACCAAAAGTCAAGTACCTTTTGCCAGTCCAGTAATTTTGCCACTACTGATTGAATAGTACTGAATACTATGTACTCCAGATCTAACTTCTCTATGCTCTGTAAACTCACCGCATGATGAAAACCTTGTTCTGGCATGTATCACAGATTGGTTATTAACACAACTGCAGAAAAGCAAGATTGGCCACATGGATGATGCATACAGTGTGCTTCCTGACCGGAAACTCATTTGGTGCAGAAGTGAAGAAAGAACACCAATTCGCTAGGAAGAAGCTCAAAAGCTACAAGCATCTAGGCACAGAGTGAGTCAGTTATCTATAACAGAAGTGACTCTATTGGTACCAGCTTTTCCTCAACTCTAGAGCCCCATAAAGTTTCATCTGGAGGTGTTTGCTAACAAAGAGACACCACCAACCTCTCCCAGTTTAAAGGACAAAAAGAGCAAAATGTAGCATTGTCCAGCTAGCTCCCTTTTCTAAGCTTGAAAACTTAGAGCAACTTAGAGCAGTAACTCAAGTTACTGCTGGAGCTAAGGCAGGCCTTTGAAGCTTTACCATGCCAGCAGGAATCAAACCTCAATCTAAAAACCAGAGATAACGTTTTTCACAAAAATTATACACCTGCACAGAAGTAACTACTCACATTCATGTATTATTATTATTATTGTTATTATTATTATTATTATTTCAATTTGTATGGCCGCTCATCTCATGGTATAATGGTTAGGATTTTGGACTAGGACTGGGGAGACACAGGTTCAAGCCCACCCTCAACCAGTTAAACTCATTAGCTGACTTTGGTCCAGTTACTGTTTCTCAGCCAAACCTACCTCTTAGGGTTACTGTTGTGGGGGGAAATAGAGGGGGGAGTGCTATGTATGCCACCTTGAACTCACAAGGAAAGATGTATGTATGTATGTATGTATGTATGTATGTATGTATGTATATTGTATAAATAAAAACATATGTCACCCTGAGCTCTCAGAGGAAAGGCAGGATATAAAACTAACAAATAAAAAGTAAGTATGATCCTGCTGTTTTCTTGACAACAGTACAGAAGTGATTTGTTACTGTTGTCTTCCAGGAAGTTTTAAATTTCCCAGTGTATACAGCTCTGGGATTCCCTGGTGGTCTCCCATCCAAGTAGACCAAACAAACTCAGCTTAGCTTCTGAGCCAGTTGCTGCCACCTGCTGAGACACTACAGCAAATGCAAGCAAAAACTGATACAAAAACCCTCTCCAAGTTACCATCTGCAACTTAATACCACTTCACCAATATAAAACACACTTTTCTTATATACCCACACATTCAGAGAAGGATAAATAAAGCATGAACTCAGTCTGGAACAAATTAATAGCCACTAGGTTTGCACCACTTCTACAGACTTGCTTAATTCTCTACCAAGAGATGTAACAAGACATCAGGGTCTTATTTTAGATAAACTGACCCAGGAAAACCCGCATGCTCCTGGTTTTACATTCAGCATAAAAAAATCAAAGAAACACAAATTTAAAAAGTAGCCAAAAACACAGTTGTCAGCAGTGTGAAAACGAGCAGAGAACAACAATTTTAAAAACATTTCTAATTGCAATGGCACACAGCTTTCTATCGTGTCAGGAGACAACACTATTGTCCTGAACTGCAGAAAAGAGGTTGTCACTAACCCTGCTCTTTGCTTATAAAAAATCCCACTCTTACCTTGCTGGAGACATAATCTTTTCCATTTACTTCCTTCATTATAGGTTTGCATCCATTACTAGAAATCCTTATAGCATTCAGGGAAGCACAATCAGTAGATCAATAGATAATCATTACCTTGTAACTGTCATGTTCCCGTTTCTGTTGCCCTATGCTCTGATCCTGGCTATCACCAGGAACTCCCCATAAAATCCCAGGGGATTCTTTATCTAACTCAGGACCCTGCCTTTCCCTGAGTATCCATTTAACCTCTATTTCTCTTTGCCAAGCTTCTTTTTTTTGCTCTTGTGATGACCTTCCACCAACTATGCATTTCATTTCCCCAGACTCCTGAATTCAGGAGCAAGGAGCACAGGTGTCCTTGTCCCTGTTGTTCTTTCCTAAAACACTCTGCCTCCTTACAGAGATTTTCCAGATGCTTGTTCAATTTCATCCATTTTCCGGAGGGCACATGCTATTGGACCACAGAGTCTCAAAAACGGCCAGGGTGCCTTTTCCCCGCGACTGAGAAGCAAGTCAATCTTTTCCTACAGACGCACCGCTGAAGGAAGGGAAGGTCCACCCGCTGAAATTGCTTGTCCTACAGCTAGAAAAAAGCACAGGAGCTCTGCCAAGAAGAGGGGGACGACCGGAGCTCTGCTCTCTTCTTCTGAGTGGAGGGCTGAGCGGGCCGCCCCACCGCCCCGCTTTCCTCCAGCCAGGGTCCTTCTCCGCAGACCCTAACCCATCTGTCGCGCTCGCCCTGCTCCTCCCTTGCTCCCCCTCTTCTTCCCTCGCTCCGCTCACCAGCCGGCCGCGGCCGCCCTCGGTCTCAGCCCTCCCCGCACTCCCAGTTGCCAAATTTCCCGGAGCCAGCGAGTCGCCATGGGGGGCGGGGGGAGGCCAGGTGGAAATGCCCCTCTCGACCGTATCAATTCCGCCAGCAAGTAGACAGACACCGGCGTGAACTCTCACCCCTTTTGCGTCACAAGGTCGTTGCGTCGCCGTGTGTATGTCACAGCGCGGGAGAAAGGGTTGGAGGGGAAGCAAGCGCAATGCTTTGTGGGAGCTGTGGTTCTGAGGTTAGGCCCGAGTTCACGGTGGGAATTATGCTTTTTCTTTCCTTTGAGTACAATAGTCTTCCAATTGTTAGTTTTTTACAATTGCTTGGACGGGAGACCATCAGAAAATCTCAGAGCTGAGGATGAGACTGGGAAGTAAGAAAAAAATGGGGGGGGACCCTAATCCTAAGAAAAAAAATGGGAAAAGGCAATGGTGAACCGTTTCTGAACTGCTGTCAACATAAAATATATATACATACATGCTCTTTCCTCTCAGGCTAGGCAATATTTGCATAACGTGCAAAAAGGAATACTAGGCAAAAGAAATTAAAGTTACAAGGGGATAAGAGGAAGGAAAGAAAATATAGCTAAACTTACTTTATACCATGTCAGTTTACTATACTGGTACATCCCTTTCGATTCTTCAAAGCGTCCTTATTTCCATCACATCCATAAACTAATTTGTATGTTGCCTTTTCTTCTTTAAGGATAAATATGTCCTTGTAATTATCAAGAGCCCCAAGCACAATTGGAGGTAGATTTTATTAAATGTATTAATGCAATCCTTAGCCAAACAAGGAGCAATTAATTTGTGCAAATCAATGGGACAAATTCACAGTCCCTGAGAAGCATCACTGAAAGTTAGTGAGTTTCAGTTTGATCATAAGCTGCCCAATTATATTTTGAAATTCTTCATTGATATGTAAGTCAGTGTTCTGCAACTGTCAGGAAGCAGGCCCAGAATAGCCCTATCATCAGGCAGAGTGATTTTTAACACCTGTTGTATCAGTTGTTAGATCAGTTTGGATGGATGGCAACAACCAACTCCCAGACATTCCCATCTACTAGAATACAGAGCTGTGTGTTTTAATTAATCCGTTGTGCCCAAGGGCTCATCCTCATGTCCTGCTTGTTGCTGAGCAAAGACATCCCTTTCTTGAGGACATGAATGCACAATATCATCCTCAACCCCAGCACACTGCTAAGGAAGCCTTTTCTTTTCTTTTCTTTTCTTTTCTTTTCTTTTCTTTTCTTTTCTTTTCTTTCCTTTTCTTTTTTCTTTTCTTGATGTGCATTCTTAAAAAACAAAACTAAGGTGTTTTCTAGCTTCAGATCTGGTCCATCTGAGATGGACTGTACCAAGATAAAGTTAGGAGCAGGGGTCCTGTTCTGCTCCTATTGACACCTGAGACTGCTGTCAGCACACACGCAGACATATGTGTACAACACATGCACACACAGACTTCCTAGCCATTGATTTCTAGAACCATTTGCTTCTCTCTTCTCTTCTGACAGAAGCAGCAGGGAAAGAGAAGGAGGGCACCAGAAAGATCTGCCTCTCCCCCAGGAAATGGCAGTTGGAAAGCTACTTCCTCCCCTCCATTCCTACTGGGGGAGGGAATGGGGTGGAAGTGTCTTTTCACCCCACACAGCCCACCCAACTCCACTCTCCCGCTAAGAGGTTGCAGCACCTAACCTACATGGGGGCTTTTTCCATACATGTCCAGCAGTCTGGATGCACATATATATCCTGATTACATCTACCCATCCCATCAGGTCCAGCAGGAGGGGTACGTTATAGGTCCCATCTGCTAAAGAGTTCCATCTGATGGGAGCCAGGAGACCAGCCTTTTCTGCTGTGGCTCCCACTCTCTGGAACGTCATTCCCCCCAAGGTGAGGTTAGCCCCACCCATACCACCCTTCCGGAAATCCCTTAAAACGTTTTTTCCAACATCTTTGGGGATCCCATGGGAATGGGGAGCCTGCAAGATGTTTGTATTGTGTTTAGGAAGTTGACTATTCTCCCACAGTCTTGGTTTGCATTCAGGTTTAATTGTTTTTAATAGTTGCTCATACTAGGTAGTTCCCAGTTTAAGAATGAGTTCCATTCCCAAGGTCTGTTCTTAAGTCAAATTTGTATGTAAGCAGGAACGGTATTATTGTATAATACTATATAAGTAGTATTGTGAAATGAACTAGAACCATTGTGTATTTAACTCGAATCACTGTGTATTTAACTCAAATTTTGCTACAGTAGGCTCCATTCTTAACTATGGTTCATCTGTAACCTGGGTGTTATTAACCCAGGGACTACCTGTACTGTTTTTTAATTATGTTTTGTTGTACACCGCCCAGGGAGATGGGCAGCTATATAAATTTGCTGAATGAATGAATGAATGAATAAAATATAGGTCCTAAGAAATGGGCATCTGTACCATAGAGTGGTAGCTGTAGAACTCTCTTCCCCTGTGGGACATGGAAGTTGAGCAAAGCAGTTCTGGCACCAGAAAGACCCACTTTTCATGGGTGACCCAGAAGAGGCACCGAGAAGCAGGGGAGAATGGCTCCTTTGGTCCCAGCTCTCCAGTACCGTGGAGGTGATTACTGTGGGCGATTAGAACTGATGACAGAAGACCCCCTTTCTTTCCGTAGGTAACCAAAGAAGTGGTGGTGGGGCGAAAAGGAGATAATAAGTTTCTTCTCTCCGCAGACATGGGTGGCAGGATGAGAAAAGCGGCTCCTTTGGTGTCCATCATTTACTCTCACAGTGTGATCTTTCTGGGATCAGAGAACTGAGAGCAGATGACACCTGCTATCACGTCAGACCACTAAAACCCATGTGAGAGCCTTCTGCTCTCAGCAACTGGCACCAAAAGAGGCATTTCTCCATCAGTCTTCCCTTTCTCCTCTTGCCCCCCCATGTGTGTGTGTGACCCCCTATTCCGCTTTGCTGACAGGGCAAAACAGGGATTGAAAGTGCAGTCAGCCCTTCTTTAAGATGGCTTCCTTTTCTTCTGACTCCCATACCAGAAAACAGTGCTTTAATCCTCTTGGGTGGGCTACTCAGTTTCAGATGCTGTTCCTATCACCTACTGTAGCTTTCTTCACCTCAAATAGCAAAACACCTGGAGCCAAACCTGCAGGAAATACTGCATATTGAAAATTATTTATACCACTTTCTGCAGGACAGGAGGAAGCAGCAGTCCCTAGATCTACAATCCCCTCTGAGCTTTACTTTGGTGGTTGCTCCACCAGTATTTCATTGCCTACTATTTGAATAGTTAGTATGGCTATTATGAGTTGAAATCTCTGTTCAACCAAGATGCTCACTGTATGATCATGGGCAAATCAGTGGCCTAGTTTACCTTACAGAATTGCTGTTTTAGGCAGATTACAAAGCAATGTCTCCCCATGTCATGGATAAAAACTGACCAGACCAGTGGAAAATGGGCAATACATCTTGATCTGCCCTCTCCCAGAAGGGAGCACTTAAAGGCTCCAAAAAAAGAGCCCATCGTATGTCTGTCACCATTGCAAGATCTGCTGCCTAAGGTCCTCTTCTTTACTCTGCCTAACAGTATGGCTGTTCCGAGACAATCAAATAAAGTGATTTATGTAACAAACATTGCACACAACCCCAGCACCAGCCATGGGTGTCTGCAGGGCCAAGGGGATGTGCAAATGATAACCATATGTGGTTATGTCATCACGTAAATGTGTCCCAACATCTGATGCAATTATGCAGTTGTATTCGTGTGATGCTTCTGCACAGATTGCTTTTTGCTGTCCTCTAGGTTTGCTGCATCCTCTGTTTATCCCCTTTTTGTTTCCCTCAGCCCACAAAGACTTTTCATTTTTTCCTTTTCTTGGTTTTATGTCTTTTATCAAGTTTCTCCTAAAGTCTGAAATAGTTTTCCTTTCTGTATCAAGGTCTTTATTCTTTGGCCCATGCAAAATCCGGCATATGCACACTTCTCTAAAGTCACCATACTTTCTCAATATTCAACAGTTCTGTATTTGTTTCCTATAGATTATTCTTCCTTTTTCTGTACCTCAATCCCAAATATATTTATTTCATGTTACTTCATAAAATTTAAAATCACAGCCTTATATCCTGATCTAAACTTTATCAGGAAAGTCATTCCAGTTATGTCATTAAGACCTAAAATCCCATTAAGCATTTTTACCCATAATTGAAAACAACAATAATTATATTTTTAATTTATAGGTAAGCAAACAGTACGAATGTCAACAACTAGAGATGGAATACATTTAATTTAATTGTGCATAATTTAATTGTGTCCTTATTCACTTTAGCCAGCAAATACAACAGGGATAAAAGAGGAAAAAAGAGAATCAAAATGAACACAAATAAGCATAAATAGCAATCCATCCTCAACCGTACTATGGATCCCTTGCCAAAGCCTTGATGCTAAATAACAACACTTTGTAACATTGCAGGTTTTATAAAAGACCTTATCAGGGAGCAGAAAATCAACATAGAAGCTGTCTGATTGTCCAAGAATTGCTGCTACAAGGGGAACAATCAGTGGTATAAAACCTGCAACGTGAAAGAATGGGTGTTATCGATCCTACCTTTTGTGCACCGCAGGGGCAGAGGATAGGCCTTGGGGTGTTTGGGAGACCTACTCTGTCACTGCGCTGAAAGAACGGCGTTACAAAAGCCCGGTGGTAGTTTGAGTAAGTCAGGGAGTAAATATAGGAGCCATGCCTCTTCGAGCAATTGGCTTTGGTAACAGAAAAGCTGGGCAGTCGGTTCAAATTATACTGCAGCTCAATTCTGAGTAATTGTTGGGCAGATCAAGTTCTCAGCCTGAGACCAGCCAAGGTCTGAGAAAGGCCGCATGAAAGGAGTTTCTGCTTAAGGGACTTCTTCCAAGTGGGCTGGAAAATAT